AACAAGACAAAAAATAAGTAAAGAAACTAAGCTCTAAATAAGGACCTAGAGCATTTGGGCTTAACAGACATCTATAAACACTAAACCCAAAAAAAACGGAGTACACATTTTTCTCAAGCGCACACGGATCATTCTCCAGGATCGATCACATACTGGGGCACAAGACAAACATCAACAGATACACCAAGATTGAAATCATACCAACCATCTTTTCTGACCACGAAGGCATCAAACTAGAAATAAATCATAAAAAGAAGGCAAGGAACTATCCTACCTCATGGAGATTAAAAGCCACACTACTGGAAGACCACTGGACTAACGAGGAGATCAAAGAAGAAATTAAAAAATTCTTTGAATTGAATGACAAGGAGGACACCAATATCCTAAATGTATGGGATGCAGCAAAAGCAGTAATAAGAGGAAAATATATAGCAATAGAAGCTCACATCAAAAAACAAGAAAGAACTCAAAGAAACAACCTAATCTCGAAGCTCAAAGATCTAGAAAAAGAACAACAAAAAAACCCCAGAACCAGTAGAAGAAAAGAAATAATAAAAACCAAAGCAGAAATAAATGAAATTGAAACTAAAAAAACAATCCAAAAGATCAATGAAACCAAGAGCTGGTTCTTTGAAAAAATAAATAAAATAGACAAACCCTAGCCAGGCTCACAAAGGAAAAAAGGGAGAAAGCACAAATACACAGAATCATAAATGAAAGAGGAGAAATCACAACGGACACAGCAGAAATCAAAAGAATAATCAGTAACTACTATGAACAGTTATATGGAAACAAGTTCAACAATCTAGAGGAGATGGACAAATTCCTACAACTCTACAATCACCCAAAGCTAGATAAAGAAGAAATAGAACACTAAACAGACCAATTACAAGCAGCGAAATTGAAATGGTAATAAAAACCTCCCCAAAAACAAAAGCCCAGGACCTGATGGATTGACAAATGAATTCTACCAAACATTCAGAGACGAATTAGTGCCTATCCTTCACAAACTCTTCCAAAAAATTGAGAAGGAAGGGACAATACCAAACACGTTCTATGAAGCCAATATTACACTAATACCAAAACCGAATAAGGACAACACAAAAAAGGAAAACTATAGGCCAATCTCCCTAATGAACACTGATGCAAAAATCCTCAATAAAATTTTAGCTATCAGAATCCAACAATGTATCCATAAGATAATTCACCACGACCAAGTTGGATTCATTCCAGGGGCACAAGGATGGTTTAACATCCGAAAATCAATCAACGTTATCCAACACATCAACAAAAAGAAATATAAAAACCATATGATAATATCAATAGATGCTGAGAAAGCTTTCGACAAAGTGCAACACCCATTCATGATAAAAGCCCTTGAAATTCTTGGGATACAAGGAACATACCTCAACATCATAAAGGCCATCTATGACAAGCCAACAGCCAGTATCATTCTCAATGGTGAAAAGCTGAAAGCAATTCCATTAAGATCTGGAACAAGACAAGGATGTCCACTCTCACCACTGCTTTTCAATATAATACTGGAAGTCCTAGCCAGAGCAATAAGACAAGAGAAAGACATCCAAGGAATCCAAATAGGAAAAGAAGAAGTCAAACTATCACTATTTGCAGATGATATGATAATATACATAGAGAACCCCAAAATCTCCACAGAAAAACTAATTCAACTCATCAATCAATTCAGTAAAGTGGCAGGATACAAAATCAACACGCAAAAGTCAGTAGCCTTCCTATACACAAACAATAAAACTGAAGAAGAAGAAATCAAAAAAACACCCCTTTTATTATCGAAACAAAAAAAATCAAATATTTGGGAATCAATCTAACAAAAGAGGTAAAGGACCTATACAAAGAAAACTATAAAACACTGTTAAAAGAAATAGAAGAAGACACAAAGAAATGGAAAGACATCCCCTGCTCATGGATTGGAAGAATAAACATTATTAAAAATGGCCATCCTACCAAAAGCAATATACAGATTCAATGCTATTCCAATCAAAATCTCAATGGCATTCTTCAAAGAAATAGAACAATTATTGATGAAATTCATATGGAATCACCAAAAACCCCGAATAGCCAAAGCTCTACTGAAAAAAAAAGAAGGAAATGGAGGCATCACACTCCCAGACTTCAAACTATACTACAAAGCCATAATCATCAAAACTGCATGGTATTGGAACAAGAACAGACATACAGACCAATGGAATCGAATAGAAAATCCAGAAATAAACCCACAGATTTATGGTCAACTAATCTTTGACAAAGGAGCAAAGACTATGCATTGGAGCAAAGAAAGTTTGTTCAATAAATGGTGCTGGGAAAACTGGGTCGCTACATGCAAAAGAATGAAGCTTGACCACTACCTCACACCATACACAAAAATCAACTCAAAATGGATTAAAGAACTAGACATAAGACCTGAAACCATAAAATACATAGAAGGAAATATAGGCGAAACACTACGGGATTTGCACATCAAAGACATTTTACAGACACATCACCCGAAGCAGTGATAGTGAAGAGAAAGATAAACAGCTGGGACTACATCAAATTAAAGAGCTTCTGCACAGCAAAAGAGACAATAACAAAAACAAAGAGAAACCCCACCAACTGGGAGAACATTTTTGCACCCAACACTAATGATAAAGGACTGATCACAAAAATCTGCAAAGAGCTGATGAGACTCAGCAACAACAAAGAAAATAATCCAGTCAAAAATGGGCAGAAGAGCTAAAAGAAACTTCTCTGAAGAGGAAATGAAAATGGCCAACAGACATATGAAAAAATGTTCAACATCACTTGTAATCAGGGAAATGCAAATCAAAACTACCATGAGATACCATCTCACACCAGTGAGAATGGCACATATTAAAAAAACTAGCAACAACAAATGTTGGCGAGGATGTGGAGAAAAAGGAACTCTTGTGCACTGTTGGTGGGAGTGCAAACTGGTCCAACCACTATGGAGAGCTGTGTGGAGATTTCTGGACCTACTAAACATAGAGCTTCCATATGATCCAGCAATTCCACTCCTAGGTATTTACCCAAAGGACACAGAAACATCAATTCCAAAGAGCACCTGCACTCCTATGTTTATAGCAGCACTGTTTACAATAGCTAAGCTTTGGAAACAACCCAAATGCCCAAAAATAGATGACTGGATCAAGAAGATGTGGTACATATATACCATGGAATATTACTCAGCATTCAAAAAGATAAACACATGCAATTTGCAGCAACATGGATGGCACTGGAAGGGATCATGCTCAGCGAAATAAGCCAAAAAGAAAAGAAAAATACCGGATGGTCTCACTCATAGCAGGAATCTAGAAAACTTAAATAAGGGACCAGGAAAATGAATATAAGAAAGTGAAAATCAAAATCAACAAAAAAACTATGAACCAGAGACACTTTTTGGGGGGTGGGGGGCGGGAGGGGAAGGATTGGGTCAGAATGGGGCGTTTGCAATTGTATGGGGGAATATAAAAATAAAATTTAATATTTAAAAAAAAAAAAAAAAAAAAAAGAAATCATACCAACCATCTTTCTGACCATGAAGGCATCAAGCTAGAAATAAACCATAAAAAGAAGGTAAGGAACTCTCCTACCTCATGGAGATTGAAAACCACACTACTGGAAGTCCACTGGACTAACGAGGAGATCAAAGAAGAAATTAAAAAATTCTTTGAATTGAATGACAAGGAGGACACCAATTTCCTAAATGTATGGGATGCAGCAAAGCAGTAATAAGAGGAAAATATATAGCAATAGAGGCTCACATCAAGAAACAAGAAAGAACTCAAAGAAACAACCTAATCTCGAAGCTCAAAGATCTAGAAAAAGAACAACAACAAAAAAGAAACCCAAAACCAGTAGAAGAAAAGAAATAATAAAAACCAAAGCAGAAATAAATGAAATCTAAATTAAAAAAACAATCCAAAAGATCAGTGAAACCAAGAGCTGGTTCTAGGAAAATCAATAAAATAGCCAGGCCCACAAAGGAAAAAAGGGAGAAAGCACAAATAAACAGGATCATCAATGAAAGAGGAGAAATCACAACGGACACAGAAGAAATCAAAAGAATAATCAGCAACTACTATGAACAGTTATATGGAAACAAGTTCAACAATCTAGAGGAGATGGACAAATTCCTACAAAAAAAAAAAAAAAAAAAAAAAGTATGAAAAGGCAGGAGGATTATGCAAAAAATTAGCCTGATAAAAGCAACAAAATATATGGTCTTATGTTCAACCACATTCACTTAAAACTTTCTTTAAAGTCCAAATGAATAGAGTGAGGAATACACAGATTCGACATGAATGAAAAGTAGTTAACAAATGGATTACTACAAAATAGCATTCTATGGGAAAATGTGGACTTAAAAGGGGAACAATAGTGATAAAGTTTGGGGGACGGTAACCCTAGATAACACTATGACAATGAGTATATAAAAGAAATTGCAATATATTCTCTACATAAAAATACTTTTTTTTTTTTTTACCGTAAACATCTACTTATTAGGCAGAGAGCAGAACTGCACTATTCACGACCACACACAAGAATTCTAGAATCAAGTCAAGTTAAAAACCCATGAATACAATGCAAAAATTGTAATGTGAAAAAATTTTAAATGCATTTTTCAAACATAAATACTTCTATTCCTCATATATATATCAAACAAGAGACTCTTGTTAGACCTTAGTAAACCAGGACTTTAAAGTTTATGGGTGATTTTTTTGCTTACATGTGAAAATTATGATACATTTATTCTTTACTGAATTGCAGAACTATACATATTTAAAGAATCGCTTCCTAGTACCAATCTTATTAGTAACTAGTTATTCATCTTATTAACCAGTAGTAGCAGTTACTAACTTTATTAGTGATCTATGTGGAAAAAGACAAGTTAGGTAGGAGGAAAAGGGACGGTGGTTCTCTGCCCCATCCTAAAAGCATAACATAAAACAAAAATTACATACCTTTTCTGTTTCATCCACACTCAGGGGTTTCATTACACAAGAAGCTGACTTCTCCTGAATGTGACCAAGGTCCTGAGGGGCACTCTGAGATCCTGACATTGGAGGCAATGGAGCCCGCCTCTTCTTTGGAGCATCTGATGGCAGGGTGTTTGAAATATATGGTTTGGAAATGGTGTTGGACCTTGTAAAAGTTGGACGATGTTTATTTATTAGAGGGGTTGCAGGGGCACTTGCAGTCTAAGAAAGAACGAAAAGGTAAAATCCATAGGTAATCTCAAGATAAAAAGCACCTGCTTTTAAACAAAATATTAGAAGGTGTAATCATAAAATGCTACATAAGAAATACTTACTTGCTCTCGCTTTTTCTTACTGCGTTGAAAAAAGCTGAAAAATCCTTTATTTTCTTTCTCCTTCATAATATCTAGGTTCTGTGATATTTGGCAGGACTCTAAAAATAGGAGAAAAACGCCTTTCTTTTGTACAAGGAATGGTATGTTCACTTGCAAATTCTTCTTCTATTTTCTCTTTAACATTTTATTTAATGATAAAAGCTACTAAGTATAGTCTAATATAAACCATGAACTCTGCTAGACATTCTATATTTTATTTGTCAAAGCAGCAAGCAAACAATATTATTGTTCCTATTTCACAGCAGAAGAACCTAATTTTAGATACATACTTAGGGTCAAAAATCAGGAAATGACAGCTAGGATATAAACACAATTCCTTGTGAGTCAGAGTCTGTTTTCTACACACAATTACCAACATTTCAGAATTAAAAAAAACACATTGAATTAAATACACAGTTTGTCCCTTTGCTTATATTGAATTATTTTTTTGTCTCAGACATAAATTATGATAAAATATTTTATTCTCCAAAACATGATTCATCGTAGTTACCTTTTACTTTGTTTAATGTTTCACAAACATTATAGTTTTAATCTGTTGGTTCTCAACTGGGGGTAACATTTCCCCCACCCCACAGAGGACATTTGACAATGTCTGAAGACTATTTTTGGTTTGCACGACTAGGGCAGGGTGGAGAGAATGGATGACTGGCTTCTGCTGGGTAGAGGGCAGTGATGCTGCCAAACATTACAAAATACAAGACAGCCCCTCAACAACAAAGAGCTATCCAGACCCAAATGTCAGTAGTGTCAAAACTGAGAAACCACATTTTAATCAGCTTTGAAAATGTCAAACCTCAAGGCCGGATATATAATATTTCATTTTCTAAAAATTATTTGCTACGGTCAACTGAAAGTGCCTCCAAACAGTGACAAGTTATTTTATGCTGTGTCACTCTGGTCCAGATTGTCTCTGAATACTATGATCCTATAAAAGGACCCATGACTACTTAAGAATGGTTGATTCTTTGTTGTTATCAAGGAATGTACAATATGAGCCTGGTCAAAGCAAAGCTAAAACTATCAAAGCCTATTAGAGTTGTTTTGAAAGGATTAAGGACCCAATCTGATATAGCTTCTACTGGCAACAGTCAAGAAAATTTGGTTATAAGAATTAATAAATTGAAACATTTATTTAATTTTATACATTCATAGTGACACCGAAAAAACAAAAAAGATGCTCATTGTTTACTTCTGTAATGTTAAGGAATCAATATATTATTTTTAAAAACTGATGAAGAACATTCTCATCCAGCTTTTTCTGAATGAATTCTTCATGGTAGATAGCTGACATGGGGAAGTTTTATTTTTTAGAAATATCTTAACAATTAAAGGGTTCTTTGTAATGAACTACAGCCACTTTTCAATTCCTAATTAACTTAAGGTAAAACAATGATTATTGATGGCCAACATTAAAATAATGTTATATTCTGCTAATGGAGTACACAATACCACCAATGAAGTAATCCTGCCGAATATATCACTCAAACCTGAGTGAGTTTCTAGATGAAACAATGAATTTACAGGAAATAGGGAGGGTAACACACGTTAGGTGGTACCACAGGATGCAGTAAGGAAAATTGACTAATACTTGGTTTCTACCATAAATAAATTTCCAATTAAAAAAATAAGGAGGCAAGAAGTGGGGATATGTAAACGTTAAAAATATATTTCTACTAAGAAACACAGGTTTTATGATAAACCATAATATAACTTCAATGACATTAGAAACAAAGTACTATGTATCAAAATTTGTGGGTAATAGCTAAAACAGAACTCAGGAGTAAACAGTAGTTTTAAACACATTTAAATTTTAAATATATAGCCCTTACTTTGGGTAAATATATAGTCTTTTTTAAGAGGAAATGTTTAGAACATTAAATAAATTATGGAAAAGTAAAAGCTGTACCAGAAAGCAGACAGTTGACATCAATAAATATTTTAATGCGATATACCTCAAAACAAATTAAAGAACTATATTTTGAAAAAAAAAAAACTTTACAAATTTGATTCCTTACCTATCAAGCATTATACTTTCTATACAATGAGTTTATTAACAATGTTAACAATAAACAGTAATGAACATGTGGATAGAATTTTAGATTTAATTTTTCTCTTATTCCTAATTATTTCTTAGAGCAATCTGGTGAGATAGGTATCACAAGCTATCATTCTGAATTCTTCTTCTAAAATTGGGAATGTAAAGAAACAGAGAATCACCTCTTTACATATCTGAGGACCTCAGTGACCAAAGAGTTTGAATAACTTGCAACAAAACACACAGACTGAAATGATAGAAATTCAACTAATATTTATTTATAATATAAAATGATTTATAATACCTTCGATTTTTTTCAGTTTTTTAGAAATGATATTTCATTTTCTGATAGAATTCACCAAATGTAGATTTATAATTAAAGTTTGATGGAAAATAGACAAAAAATTAATATGGTGGTTTAGTGAAATAAATATATTAGAGTATTTTATCTTGCTATTTTTGGTAGAGCAATTTCCAGGTATCCAGTCATCTTCCACACTAGTTAATTGCCTAAGTGTTCTTTTAAAACTTTAGGTCTTTTAAACCTGCATGTCAGAGTTAAATACTAGGACAAACAAGGACTTAAGTTTACTCAGAAAGCAACTCAGGTGTTATAGCTTTCTGTTTCTAGAAGAGAAATCATATGCATATGAGTTATACATAAAACAAATAATTACATTAAAAGTTTTAAGCCTTCTGGTAATAGACAAAATAGGGAGGCAGAAGCCCTTGGCAATTTGAATTGATTTAGTAAATTCTGACTCTGTAAAGGAGCTTTCTTAATTGTCCTGTCCCAGTCTCTTCAGGTTATGTTAACATTTAATACTCTTAATAATCCATATCCTTTTTTGACTAGAAGAGTTAATAGAAGTAAACAGATTTAACACCTTCAAAATAAGACCAACAAAATTATGGAATTTGCTTTGAGTTATGTAATTTGAGAGAGTAACAAAATGAGGAGCAAATGTCAAGTACAAGTAACAAAATATGTTCCTGGAAAGAACCAAAAAGACACTGCAGAAGCAGAGGGGAAATTTCCTTCTACCCCTCTGTGTTCTTGGGCTATCTAAGCACTCAAATTAACAGATTATTAGGAGAAAAGAATAAATATAATTACATGCATATGAAGTCTCTACAGAGATGTAAATTCTAAAGTAAATGGGGCAAAATAAGGGTATGTATTTTGAACTAAGGGATGGGATAGGGGCCTGTAGCTTCTCTATGAGAGAAGGCAGACTCCTATGATAAAAGGGATAGATGCTCGGCAATTATCAATGTATGTTTATTATAGAGTTAGGTAGAGCGGTTTCTTACAGAAAGATTATTCTGGGAAAACTCTAAATCTGGGCAAAAGCAGTTTTCATTTTGCTAAGTGGTTTAAGGCAGTAGTAAAAGTTTCTCTTGAGCTTTCACGGTCTCAATTGGCATCAGTCTTTTTGGACATATTGGGAGGCCTATCCTTCTCCAATTTTCCAATCTCTTTATTATTATAGAAGTGGAAGGTGGCATCTAGACATTTAAAGTTATTTGCTCTCTCAATGTACCAAATTAGCTTGATAGTCAATGTAGTGTCAGAATTAAAATACATCTCTTCTGATTGTTTGCAGTATACACTTAAAGATCACAGGAATTCTCAACTCCTTTGATTAGGCTAGTCTTTATGACAGCCAGTGATAAACTCAGGTAAGCTTAAATCCTGGAATTGAGAGATTCATGCTATGAGAAAATCAGAAGTGGCAAAGAAAGATTTCAATAACATGCAATGTATACAGTTTATCAGGTGTTTTTTAATAGGGTGATAATTAATACAGTAATCAATTATCTGAGCCTATCATTTTTATAAGGGGGAAAAAATCTCAGACATTTATTGGCCAATTCCTAATAAAATTTTTCTTTTTAAAAATAATATACTCCCATTATAAAATACTATAAGGAGGATTAAAAAGTTAATTACAGCCCTATCACCCAAAGGTAACCACTATTAAAACTTTTATGTAAGGAATATTTTATAAAGTTTTTTACATGGTGTATTAAACACACTTAAATGTTTAAAAGCACATTTTAGCTAAGAATTTTCCATGTTATTACAAGAGTCACAAATCATTTAAAACTACAAAATTGATTGATTATTCTGAATAACTGCTCAACAGAAATAGCTAAGATTCTTTCAAGGTGCCACCAAACTATTAGCATTGAAACCAATAAAAATTTTAGCAAAATCATTTTCTTGCTGAGAGTTATCAATGTATTTCTCACATTCTTAAGAATTATATAGTTTTTCAAGCTTTTGAATTATAGTTATTTTATTAAATTCAGAAATTAAGGGGAGGCTTACAAGTTATTTTTAGGAAATAAAAATCAAAGATTCTTTAAGATAAAATCTCTCATATAATGTAAATATTAGTAATGTTAAGAAAATGGGTAAACCTAGTAGCTTATTTTCATTTTACTGAACAGTTTCCATGTTATATTTCATGTTATAATTTTTATATTTTTGTTATAATTTTTTCTAATATTTAATGTTATAATTTCAATTATATTTCATGTTAAAATTTGTTTTTACTGATTCAATAGCTTACCTTGTAAAGATGACTTATGGAATGCAGTAACAGAAGTGGCTACAGAAGGAGGGGTAAAAGAGGGTAAATTGACTGTAAAGATGATGTTTGCTCAAGTATAATACATCACTGAACTGAAAAAGTAGTCTATAGATTACAAATAGCTACAATCTCAGAATTGAATTTGAAGTTCTCTATGCAAAAGTGTTTAAATAATTGTCTCCTCACTAAACTTCTGTTTCTCCTAGTAAAACAAATGACGTGTTGAATAAATAAGCTCACATTTCCTTATTACACATCATATAAATGCTAAGATCTCAAAATTTTAAGTATTAAATTATTTCTATAGATTAAGGCTGTGAATTATTTCTATTTAGACTCTTTTTGGAATTAGTCTAAACTATTTTGGAATTTTATAAATCATTTGATCCTGTGTGTTGAATTTAGAAAATATGGCAAGAAACTCAAATGATAACTAAGACTCAGATAAAACCATAATGAGTCATACTTGGTAAGAACAATGAACTGGTGTGTAAATTTTGATTTTCTGTCTAAATCTCAAAGCCTCAAAGAATTAAATTAAATTTCACCAAGAGATATTCATAGGTAGATGGAAAAGTGTGAACTGTGGATGACAACTAAGAGAAGGAGGTTTTCATTCCAATTTTAATAATTTCATTCCAATTTAAATTTTATTACATTTAGTTTCCTTATTTCCAAAACATATATTTACTTCTATCACTAGGATCTATTATTGACTTGCATTATGAATTTGAGGATACCTATAAACACACTATACATACATACAAATATATACATCCTATCAAATGAATAGAGTGAAAGGTCTTACCTCTGCTGACATCCATGGCATACAGTTCTCTTAGTCCCAGATCATTAAGAGATTTTGTCAAATCGAGGGGCTCTTGAGATTGATAATCCTTCAATAACAGTGTATGTAATGGATCAAACTCACATTTGCTGCATATAGTAGGGGCAAGTTCTTGAAGCGATGCATGAGGGCTAACTCTCACTATCGCCTTCTGTGTTTTCTTAAAATTGATCACTACTCTCACAGTCTTCTGCAACACAGAATTAAAGTCATATTTGTACCATAATTTACTGCAACAAACATTATACAAAGATGTCTAAATTATAATAATCTATAGCTGTATTTCATACAATAAATATAATTTTTCTATTTTTGAAAATACTATGATTAATATTGCTTCCTAAATCCAAAGCAGATTCTAAGAAACAATTTGCTTCTTAAATAATCTGGGTTAAATTCAGAATTCTTTACATAGTAAAGAGTTTAAATATTTAAGAGGTTTTAAATGAAAAAGGAACAAAAATCTCATATATCGTATTATGTAAGACTTAGTTTTGTTCCATTTGTTCCATTAAGTGTTTAGTTTAAAATTAGCAAACATATAATAACAGTATTATACATTTTTGATTCTATCCTTTGCTTGGGGTATATTTATCTTTTTAGTGGTTTTTCAGTTATCCCAATGGAAAAAAAGGGGGTATTTTGTGCTTCTCAATTAGAACATGACAATACAATCCATATAAAAACAGTTGCTCAAATATGGTAAATTACCAATAAGTTAACATTAGCTATTTTGATTACCTATCATTACTTTGTTGTTACTACTACTACTTTGGCTATTTTGACTTATTAGTCAAAAATATGAAAACATTCCTTATTTGGATACCTATACTACAAGTTCAAAATTGTGTTACTTCAATTACCTCATATTATTGTAATTGAATTAAATCCTGTATGTAAAGGAAGTTGGAAAGAAACATATGACCATTTTAAGTGATATCTACAGTGTGTAGATCTTCAAAACTTAATATCCAAAATTTAAAGTATTGCCCCAATCATAATTAACTCAAGGAATAATAACAACTGAACCCTAAACAAAGTGGCCTAGGAAAACAAAATAGCAATGTTTATATCAATTATAACATGGGCAACTAATTTTTATTACATTTAAAATGATCTGCAGATAATGACTAAAATCTGTAGTAAATTCTTACCTCTGGTATGATAGGTGTCGGCTTTTTCTTATCCAAAATTTTTGGCTTTAAAATTACTTTTTCCACCTCTAACATTCCTATTGGTGTGTTTGGCTTAAATTTGATGATATTCTTCTCAGCTGACAGTAGATCAATTGTGTAACTCGATGGATTTAAATGATATTGTGCACAGAGGAATATCAACAAGTCCATCATAGGTTTACTGTAGAACAAGAGTAATGCCGATCATACAGACCCATAAAACATTTTCATAAACTATTAAAGTTATTGTTAAGCATTTTTTAGGGTGTTGTCTTCAATAGACAGCATAAGTCTACAAACCAGTATTTGTGAGAGCAAATACTGCAAATGTAACTGCAAGAAAAAGATTATGAAGATTGAGCTCATAAGTAACCAAATGGTAATTTTTCCACCACTCATATTAATTTTAAGTAAAATATAAGGTTATAATTCAGAGAATAACAAAAAGATCATGCTGCATAAATCATAACAATCATGAACATGTTTTTTTTTTTTTTAAAGGACACTTAACAGAATGGAATTTCTCAAAATATTAAAAATAGATCTGGGGGAGGGTTAATTGCCTGACATTGTGCAATCTTCAATGCAAACCACACTTTCTATAGATTTCTCAAACTATTCCCTGTGTTCAGTCCTTGCCTCCCTTTTACCTTCTATGGTTGTTGCTTATTCTTAGGCTAGTTCGCTATCTTTGGGATAAAAAAGCATGTTTCATAATGTTACCTTCACTTTCCTCTCCTCCTCCACCTACAAGTAGCCCTAATAGGTAGATCAACAAAAATAAAAGACTCTAAGTAAAAAATGTTCTCTGTTTCAGTCCTCAAAGTATCTCCCTATGTTTTTATTAGATATTTGCACAACAGTATTTGGAAGCTTTATGTCTTTCTTTTGAATTACATAGTATGATCCTACATAAACTTGTCTGCAGTTGCCCAAATTTTGTCTTCAGATAATACATATTAAATTTCATCCCGAGGGAGATAAATATAATGGTATTGCCATTTTTTTTGGATAACAGAATACCTTTGAGAGCAATTTGATGTTATGTATCAGTTCTAGATTTGGAAATCGAAACATCTTTCTCTGACAATAAAAAGGGTTAGGTAATAATGCCCAGGAAAATGCAGTAATTGTAAATATCATTACACTGGAAGAAGAGAGAATTTTTACTGCCAAACAAATGGATGACTATCCATTGTTGTCTCTGAATATATGGCAGTATGTTAAAGTTTTATTTCTTTCTCTAGATACATAAGTGTGCCTAGTAATAAACGTAAAAATAGCAAAGCTTATACTTCAAACATCTTTTATTTCTTAAATATACAGTTCTTTAGAATCTCTGCCATAAATATACAAGTTTATAAGAAAAAAATAGTTATGAGCGTAGTCTTGTTTTGTTAATCCCTATTTTTGAGCCATTTTTCATCACCTGTATAAATATATACATATGAAAGGAAAAGACATTTCCACTTTTAGAAAGTAAGAAAAATGTAACACTTTTAACATACACTTATGTAACCCTTCTAGTATGCCTTATTGAATTTTTGTACTTCTATCTGTAATATAATAATTTTCTAATAAATGGGATAGATAACGGGCCATGGTATAATAATGGCCTCTTCCCACAGTCAACTTGGTCATATAAAATGTCTACACACTGTACAAGTTTCATGGCAAAAAGGCTGCAGGCTGAATAGAGCTATTTATATGAGGACCTATTATAAACTCAATACTCCCTAAATATTTTCTAATAAAAATGCCTCTTTGAATGGCAACTAAAATCATGAAACTTCTTTATGACTTTTTTCTCTCATTCTATATTACAGGTTCAATTCCTATTCAATAATATCAGAAGCCAAACTTGTCTTGAAAATATTCCTATTCCCAGAAAAAAATTAATGTAACAGACCAGAAAGTTGTAACAGACAGAAATATAGACTGGAATTTAATACTGCACAGGATAATGGTACTTGAAATTTGGGGGCAAAGAACTGAATTTTCAACAACTGACATTGGAAAAACTAAACCATCTATTGAAAAATAAAAATTTTGTGTCTACTTTATTCCATTCCTTACACTAGAGTAAGCTCTAAGTGGAACAGAAAACAGATATGAGGATATATAGAACTGGGGCAGAGGGGAGGGGGAAGGAATGGAGAAGAAATTCATCTTCATGTAGTGTATATTCTAAAACAGTGTTCAATGAAATTTCTATAATGACGAAAATTTTATCTGTGATGCCCAATAGAATGACCACTTACCACATAAAAGTGATAAGCACTTTAAAATATATTGAGCTAGTGGACTAAGAACGAAATCTTTCATTTCATATCAATTCAACTTAAATAGCCACATGTGGTGAGTAAACTGAGTATTGGATAGGGGACTGTATTGGAGAAAGTAGTTCTAATGTATTGGTTGTCAAATTGTTTCATGGACCAGCACATCAGTGTCACTGGAAACTTAAAAATGCAAATTCTCTAGCCTCAGCCCAGATCATTGAATGAGAAACTCTTGGGTGTGAGGCACAATACAGCTTTGACAAGAACTTCAGTTGAGTCTGATGCATGCCACAGTAGAGATCTAGAGAGAAGAGGACAAGGAAACAAGTACTCTGCAGTGATGTGTCTTTGTTTTTTTTTAAAGCACATTTAACAGAATGGAATTTCTCAAAATATTAAAAATAGATCTGGGGGAGGGTTAATTGCCTGACATTGCGCAATCTTCAATGCAAACCACACTTTATATAGATTTCTGCATTGATGCATTGCTTAACTACAGGGATATGTTCTAAGAAATGCATCCTTAGGTGATTTCATCAATGTGTGAACATCACAGAGTGTAATTACACAAACCTAGATGGTGTAGCCTACTACACACCTGGGTTATATGGTATAGCCTATTTGGCCAACTATTATATATATATATATAGAGAGAGAGAGAGATAGATAGATACAGATATATATATAGCAAGAGATATGTATATATACAAGTATATTTTTATAGTCAGTTGTTGAACAAAATGTTACATGACTGTGTTATGTATTAGATAATAATAAGTGTTTTAATGAAAACTAAGATTAAAAAGGAGGTGAGGAAATGTCCTAACTGAAAAAAGAAAAAAAAGACATTAGAATAGAGACCTGTATAAAATGGGATAACAGAGTAAAGAGCATTCCTGGAAGGGATGACACGTCAAGGCTTTGAGACAGGAGTATGCTGTATATATTCAAGGAAAAATGAAAATCAATCCACTAGCGTGAAAACAGTAGACATGAAATCAGAGTAATTCTCTTAAAGTTTAAAGCCTTGGGAAGACTTGGAATTTTACCAAATGAGATTAAAAAGAAAAACTGAAGAGTTGTGAGGAATGATGTGATGTACTTTACGTTTTAAAAGGCTTATATTCTGAGTGTTGTATTTTGAACAGGTTGGGGGGGCAGTTACACAGCTATTGCAAAAAGTTAAGAGGGAGATGACTGTACCTTAGACAAGTCAAATTCCAGATATATTTTGCAAGGATCTGATAGGATGGAATATAAGCAGGAAGGAGTAAGAAGATACAAGGGACAGCAAGGAAGCTGGCTAATGGAAAGAGGCCTGAGTTGCAGGTTCACTATAAAATGGCAGGATTCCTCAAAGGACTCAATAGGAAGCCAAAAATTCTAATTTAATTTGTTTGCTATCTCATATGCTTATTAACCTCTCCCTGGTCACCCACAGACCTCACTAAGGTCTTGATAGCTTTGCAATAGATTTGGAAGAGGCTAAATCAAAGAAAGAAGGAAATTACAAAGGGTAAAGACTGAACAATAAAAATCCAAAAATAAAATATAAAGTCAGAGCCAGAGGCGATTGTAAAAACATAATTCCTTGGGAATTTATAATAACATGATAAAAGGAATTGAGCTTTATACAAGATGTGGATAGGGGTTGAGGTCAATCTTATCTAGACCTTAAAGAGTAGAGTGCCCTCAAGATGTTATATAGGTTCCATTTGCACCTAGACATGAAATCCTCTCTAGGAGGACCACCTCTAAGCCATCTTTATTCCCAAGACCTGATATAATGTCAGAGAGGTGGTGTTGTCCATGTTGTCTCTATACAGTATCTGAAGCATGAAATTGCAAAGTTGCTGGAAAAGTCATTGCTTAAAAAAAAAAATATATATATATATATATATGTATAAAAGCTGGATTTTTTCCCTTTTTCTTTTTTTAACCAACAGATTTGACTAGTAACCATGTCTTATCTACTGCCATGCCTTCTTTACACCGAGGTGGAATATAACCATTATGTGGACTAAGGCCTTTTTCAAAAACAGCTTCAGAGATGGGTTCAAATGCTTCAAGTATTTAACTGAAGTTTCAGCATTTGGCACTACTGAGCAATGTGACGATTTTAAGGGTAGGAATTAGTGACTACTGGCTCTACCATAAAGAAGTCATAACTTGAGAGTAGAACATTAACTTTTAAGTAAGTTCTGCATCCAATGGGGCTGCTTTAGGATTAACTGGTCACAAAGTGTACCCACAGAAAATAAAATCATCTCTTGAATAGAGTTGTTTAGAATCATCTACCTGGATACCAACTAACTTCAACCAAAGACAGCAATTTTGGTTTGAGAATAATTATTCTGAGCTAAAACCTAACAGAAGTTGCCTAACAGGTTTGACCTTGGGATCCCCAGAGGAAGGACAATTGTTTTTCTATTTGCTAAGGCAGGAGCACATGCCAGCAGTACACCTGATGCCAGAGTCAAATTATTAAAAGTTGAAAAAATTGGCTGAAATTGATCATCACTTCTTCATTCAAAGAAAAAAAAAAATTTGTCTTCTTCTACACCACCACAGCACTTTGAATTTTGTATATTATTTAACAGAATCTGCTTTGCATTAATAGTTACAGATTTTTTTTTTCTCTTGTAAAATAATGATTTCCCGGAGGGCATATTTTTCTTTAAGACTCTTTAAAAACTCTTGTTTGAAATGGAAAAATCCCTAGGAGATTTCGTACTACCTTTGATAAATAAATAACAACCCCTTGTATTAATTTCACATCTATTATCTCCTTTGGGCCCACAACCACCACAAAAGTACTCACACTTAATGAATTTAAAAATTGGGGCGAGAGAAGTTACATGACCACATGATGGAAAGCATATATAGAATTAGAGAGCAC